TCTCTCTCTCTCTCTCTCTCTCTCTTCTTTCTTTCTTTCTTTCTTTCTTTCTTTCTTTCTTTCTTTCTTTCTTCTTTCTTTCTTTTCTTAATGTACTTAATACAGAGTCTAACTACACAGATCAGATTTGCAGTGATCCTTCTGTTTTCAACCTCACAAGGGCTGAGATTACAGGCACGTGCCACCACGCCCAGTCTCAGTTGCCATCTCGCTGCATCCCCGGGGCCGGGGCGAGCACTGCAAGCTGGGGTCGAACCTGGTCCCAGCGTCCACTGAACTATCTGGCCAGCCCTCAAGATAACCACTTTTTATACCTTAATTCATTTAATATTTGCAAAACTTCTACTGTGTGTACAAATCTTCACTTTGTAAACAAATCAACCTGAAAAAATTAATTTGTCAACAGAAGTTGAAGAAACTAATAAATGAAAATGGTAATGTAAGAAGTTAAGTCATCATCTCTGGGTGCGGAGCTTTTAGCCACTTTACCATACTAGCACTGTCCTTAGGAAAGTTAGCTCTGAGTGATACTGCAGGTAAAAATTAATAAATAAATAGCTCATGTCATATGCTCCATATGAAATTTAATTTATTTATTGCAATTGCATTGCTTATAGTTTCCAAGCATGGGATAATTTAGGTACCCAACAAGTCTAAGTAGTGACAGCCATCAGAAAGTTGTGCTATAAAACAGGCTTTAAATTTGTGGGGATAAGAAAAGTAGGTTATTACTTCAAAAGAGAGTGGCACATCATAGAATTTACAAAGCATTTAGAAAACTCAAGTTAACGTGAAACAATGAGTCCTTGGCCCAAAATGATCATTTGCTTAATTCCTTGTTTGACACTGGCAGAGTAAACAGGACTGGCCCTAGTAGTGTTATAAGCCCATGACAGGTCTGTTCATTTGTTAAATACTTTTGTTGTTTAAACAACACCAACACATTCACCTGAGGATTTGTCCTAGGAAAACAAAAAGAAAACTAAAACACTAACTTGTGTTAACAAGGGCACCACTAGGCCACCCAACTAACACTACCCGGGTCCCATCAGGAGCCTCACAAGACAGTGACAAGCTTCTCTAACACTGCAGTCACACCAATGAAAAGTCAAGTAAAATGAAATCCATCTAAACAAACAAAACATCTTCACATAGTATTTTGGGAGGAATTCAACTTATAACTTAACAGATTAATTCATTTTCTGCTTAGGACATCAATATTCAACGAGTGCTAATTGAATATATCTCCACAGGCTTTTGTTAGAAGAAGTTTTCCTCCACAGTTTAAATGCTAAGTGTAAATGAATGAATCTTGTGTTTATTTCTCCAGCAACACTTGAAGAGTTCCACTCTCACTGGAGTTAAATGACAAAGTAGTGCAGAAACATCATATGTTTTTATGTAAGCAACTTTCTGGCTCTGGATGAAGAAAATAATTATTTTTGTTGTTTATTTTATACTATTGCGTACTATATATTATTGGATATGTATCATGTACATTTCCACATATGAATAATTTATAGCACCTATTTACATATAATAGAAAATAAGAAAATTGTATTTTAATGTAATTTGGAAGTAACAGAGCTGACAAAACTCAAATGGAATGTGATGGTGAAGGAGATATTGGAACAAAATCTTGCTCACTGTGATGTGCTTGAATTTAAGAGGAACGACTGATGTTTTCTCAAAATGATGACAATTATTCTTTTTTTAAAAAAATATTATGACCAATTGTCCTATATATAATGGCTTAATTTAAAGAGAAAAGTGAAGAGTAAATTTAAGGAATCTTTCATTTTCAGGTATCCAGTAGATATCAAAAAGAGAAAAAAATGAACCACAGGGAGCTATAATTTAAAGGCACTTATTATATATTTAAAGGTTATTTTAAAACTGCTTACTATAACTAGGTCTCCACTCTGTGCAACAATGTTATTTATTGCACTCTTTGCAGCATTCCACTCCTGCACTAGGCAACTAATTTTTATTTCATAGTTTATATCTCTCAGAAGAAAGGTGTTGATATTTGGCAGAAGTAAATCAAAGGAACAATCCCCTGGAGTTTCTCCATTTTACTGAGGATGAATGCTATCCATCTAAGGATCATCATGGCCACTGTCACAAACAAAAATGTCACAGTCCAGCTCATATGTTTGGCTTGTGCTACCTCTCTATTAGAATACGCTTGACTTTTTGTTTATTAGGTAACATTGATCACGCTAAAGTACATTCCTGCATATCATCACAATTTTTATATTTTTGACTAATGTAGTTTAATTTTTGTTTTAAAACAAGATGCAACACAAATTTAATTGTAATCATTTTAGGTAAGATCTTGTAGTATTTGGGCTGGGGTATAGCTCAGCATAATAACCTCCTGCCTGGAAAGCTCAAATTCCCAAGTTCCATTCTTGGTGGAAAAAAAAAAATTATTATAGTGTTGTTGAAAATGACAGCCCCAGACACAAGCAAAATCGATGCAACTTTGTATGGTAGATTATTAGTAATTTTGCTAGTGATATTCTATTTTTTCCCTTCAAGCTTTACCTTCACATTTCAAGTTTTATTTTCAAATGTTACCTTT